AGTAGAGACGGGGTTTCACCATGTTGACCAGGATGGTCTCGATCTCTTGACCTCGTGATCCACCCGCCTCGGCCTCCCAAAGTGCTGGGATTACAGGCTTGAGCCACCGCGCCCGGCTTGCGCAAATGTTTTTTAAAGTGCGTTCCTATTCATTATGTCATCGTTGGGCACTTGACAAAATGAGGCTGCCAAGGAAGATGCTATTGTCTGTATCATGGACAAGGCTAAGCTTAATCCATTACCACATCATGGGGTGTGCTGAAGATCATGGGGCTAAAGTATAAAAGGAGGGGCCAGAAATTCCAGAAAAGCAGCAAGTCACTATGGGAGAGATCTCATTAGGAAGGAGCTATGGCATCATTTTAAACTTGATCATAAAATGTTTCTACTGATAAAGGGGAAGTCGAGAGGGAAATCAGACTCCAAATATTCGACTATTTCAGCAGGACAACTGCACAGGCTGCACTTCCATCAGGGAAGCACTTTAGGGTCTGTCCTTCCCCCTTGCACTGGCCTTTCATTACATTAAACAGTATGAGGAATAAGCAGGCCAGGTTTATTCCTAATAGAAAAGGCTCACAAACCTTTTTTTGAGACAATTTTGTGCCCAAAGCATTTTTGAAAAAATAGGATTTTGAGGGGAGTTATAATCTTGAATATGGACGTTTTAAAAAAAAAACTGAAGAATTAAAACACATAACCACAAAATTCCAAGTTTTTCAGGCCTGTGAACAAATAACAAAAAGCCTTCTGTCTTCTTTGAAGTATAGGACATAAGTAATTACTATGACCAAACAAGAGTAAAATGATAAAAAATGCCAAACCCCAGCGTTGACACTTTAACACTTGAACCTAAAGACAAAGAAAAGGCAAAAAGCTCTATCTTGGCCACAGAGTATCCAGTTGCCGGCTCATAAAATGGAGGCAAAGCCACAGTTTGAGCAAGACTCCCGCCCTGTGGCTCTACGCATGTTGCGCTCACACTGCAGCTGCACCTGGACACTTAAAGGCTGCAGTACAGATAAGCCGACTTCTCAAACAACTCCAAAACTACGCAAGCTGTATGTGTGTGGGAAGCCACAACAAAAAATACTGTTTTCACTCTCCAACTATTTTAAGACTAGAGAACTATTATTTAGTCATCTTCATAATCCGAAAGAATGGCAAGTACTTCTCAAGCAGATTCACCACTCACAAAACCCTGAAATGGCCATCTTATAACAGGGGGGTGATTCTTGAACTCAATTAAAATGCCAATCTCATTTGGTATAGCGATGCTAATGTAAAATTTAAAAATAAAGATCATGGACCCCTTTCCTCCACCTTAAAGGAAGTAGCACTCATGCAAATCTTTCCATTAGACTGACCAGGCCAAATTACTCAGCCAAACATTTGCAAACACACATTTTCTACTCTATCAACTTCTTGAAAAAGGCATGGCAACTGTTATCACAGTTACTCTCAACTTCAGACGTCTGTTTCCAGGGCTGGGTTTTAGAAACGGCATGGTTCAAGAAAATAATGTACCTAATCCAAGTAGTATGGCAAGACTTGGCTCTGAGGTTAGTTTTTATACTATAAAAGTATGCTTTATAAGTAGGAGGCCATGGGTCTATCTGAGTGAATAACAGACACTGAAACTGAGCAACTTTTCTTTTTCTTTTTTTAAATAGAGATGGGGTCTCGCTATGTTGCCAAGGCTGGTGTTAAAACTCCTGACTCAAGCGATCCTCCAACCTCAGCCTCCCAAAATGCTGGGATTACAGGTGTAAGTCACCACACCCGGCCTGAAATTGGGCCACTTTTTATTGGAGCTTCAGTAAAGAAATAATGTACACGGACTATAACCAGATGGACGTGCCTTGCCCTAAGACATAACGCAGGATGCCGCTAAATGCTTACCTATTCTGATAGCTGTAGTAGGCAGCATCGCGAGGAATGGTACACAGCTGCTTCCCATAGCAGCACAAAGTCTGTGGGGAAAACTCATACTGCAAAAATAGAGGAGAAATACTTTTATATAAAAATACATTCCATTTACTGTACTATAATGTTCTACTCTACTAGACCATTAGCAAATTATTTGTTAGTAAATTAGATGGTTTTCTAACAATTTTAATAGCTTTAAAGACCTTTGGGATAGCATGTGATAGAACTGGCTTTAGTTAAGAGACATTTTTATTACAGACAGATACCATGGGCAGAGGGGCAGCTAGCAATGCTTCTCCACAGCGTCCCTCAGTACGCGCCTGTATACCCATCACATCACTTCAGGCATTAACTGTTACCAAACACCAGTTTGCACACACGCACTCCCAGTACACAGGTGTGGTCTCATATTAGTGTAACACCCTTCCAGTTGGATTAACCAGGAAAATTCACTTTCCGGAAAAACTTAAAACTGTACCTTGCGTCCACAGCAATATCCAAGGGACTGCATGACAGGGTCAATTTCCTGCTCAAAGACCTCTGCAAGCTTACTGCAAAACTTATAGACTCGGGATGTCTTGCGATTATAGAGCCAGGCATTGTTGAACATGAGCCAGACGTCGTCCACATACTGCCAGGGCTCTTGGTATTGCCCTGTGTCCAGCTTCCGCTTGATGGTTGAGAGGTCCATGGGATTTTTTACAATGTCAAAATAATCCTAAAATACAAAATGGTCTCAGTCTAGGGAATTCCCCAATATCCAAATCCCAATGGCAGTGTTGTCTTAAAATTAAAACAGCAATAGAAAGTACCACAATAAATTCTGTTCTTAACAGTAAGAAATGGGAATTGAAAAGAAAACAACCTCGGATGCACCTCATTTTACTCACTACAAGTGTAATTAATATTTTCAAGTATAATCACATTATATACCTCAAAGGCAAAATTAAAAAAAAAAAGTTAGAAGACACTTAAAAAAAAAAAAAAAAAAAGACAGAGTCTTGCTCTGTTGCTCAGGCTGGAGTGCAATGGCATGATCTTGGCTCACTGCAACCTCCGCCTCCTGGGTTCAAAAGATTCTCCTGCCTCAGCTTTCTGAGTAGCTGGGACTACAGGCACGTGCCACCGCACCTGGCTAATTTTGTTTTAGTAGAGACGGGGTTTCACCGTGTTACGCAGGATGGTCTCGATCTCCTGACCTTGTGATCTGCCTGCCTCGGCCTCCCAAAGTGCTGGGATCACAGGCAAGAGCCACCATGCATGGCCAGAAGATATTTTAAATAAAACATTTTAAAAATAGATCTTTAATCCACTGAATTAAATAGTGAACAAGTTTATCAAACAGTGTGTATTTCTAGATATTAACTTTTTTTTTTTTTTTTAAAGAAGGGGTTTCACCATGATGGCCAGGCTGGTCTTGAACTCCTGACCTCAGGTGATCCACCCACCTCAGCCTCCCAAAGTGCTAGGATTACAGGCGGGAGCCACCACGCCTGGCCAATATTCACTCTTGATGCTATCTAGCAAAATGAAATTCCAAGACAAATATAAATAAAAAACTAGTAATGACTCCTACGGAGAATCTGTTCGGTACCCATGGCCTTTGCAAGGCTATCCAGGAATATCAGAGAGAGAGCCTATTTGTTTTACAGTTGATGTTCACAAATTCTTTCAGACAAAAGTGACACAAGGCCCCTAAATATAAAGTGAAGTGTCAGGGGCATGTCCTGCCCTTGCTTTGCACACCCCTCCAAGGACCGGGGGTTCAGGAATAGGTGAAATCAAACAAACTAAACACTTTTATTGATAAAAATTCACAGACAACAATTTTTTTATATTAGGAGAAAAATACTTAAAGCGAAGGGGTTATTTTATCTAATTTCAAGAGATAAAACAATGGACACGCAAAAGTCACACTGGCAAATCTATTTATATGAATTAACTTACTGGAATTCCAAGGAGCTGGGGATCTACAGGCTGCCGGAAAGGTAAAGACTCTGGGTCCTGTCGATACAGTGCTTCTAGGGTTGGCATGAGGGCCTGACGTAGCTCCTCTGGTTTAAAGACTGCAGAGAAAACATCAAGAAAATACTCTCTGTAAAAGGTGCTTAGATCCCTCCTACCTCACATTTAAAACAGGAGCCTGGCTGCTGTGACGTCCCAGCCACGACGTTCTTAAAGCACTTGAGGGGCCCTCGTCGATCACTGTAAGCATCCATGGACTAAAGCTTCTGAAAATGCACTAGTGTCAGAACTGCATTCAGGTCATGAGAGAAAATACCACTGAAAAGTCTGCTTCTACCACGAAAGGTTTCCAACATTAAAAACTTATTGAAAAAGAAAATCAAGCTAACTCCCAAAACTGTGTGGTAAATAAAGCCATTTCAGACCGGGCGCAATGGCTCATGCCTGTAATCCCACCACTTTGGGAGGCTGAGGCGGGTGCATCACCTGAGGTCAGGAGTTCAAAACCAGCCTGACCAACACAGTGAAACCTCGTCTCTACTAAAAATACAAAATTAGCCAGGAGTGGTGGACACCTATAATCCTAGCTACTCAGGAGGCTGAGACAAGAGAATTACTTGAATTTGGATGGAAGGGACCTTAATAGAGCCTAAGAGGAAAGTACTTTTTATCCTTGGCTAAATTAAATTCAGGCTGCTGGCGACAAACGGTTCTCAATCTCATAAATGTAAACAGTAATAGCGCTACAAAATAAAGCATTTTTATAAAAAGTTTTGTTTTGCTGGACACGGTGGTCATACCTGTAATCCCAGCACTTTGGGAGGCCGAGGCAGGTGGATCATAAGGTCAAGAGGTCAAGAGATTGAGACCATCCTGGCTAACACAGTGAAACCCCATCTCTACTAAAAATACAAAAGCATTAGCTGGGCATAGTGGCACGAACCTGTAGTCCCAGCTACTTGGGAGGCTGAGGCAGAAGAATTGCTGGAACCTGGGAGGCAGAGGTTGCAGTGAGCTGAGATCACACCACCGCACTCCAGTCTGAGCGATGGAGCACGATTCTGTCTCAAAAAAATTTCCGTATTGCTCACTCTCACATTTACTAATGCCAATTTCTCCAACCCCTCAGCCACCTTACTGCCTACTACACTTTCTGTTGTCACTAATACAAACATAAATACTGGCTGCCAAATACATTCAAGACTGAACATTCATACAAACCCTAAACGAATATCGGAACAGGTGCTAGGGAAGCTGTTTGGTGTGGGAGGCTGGCCAGTCAGCAGTCTGGCCACTTGGCTCATGTTCACCCCACTTGGCTCATGTTCACTCTCACAGAGAAACAACTGGAGGCAAAGATGTCTCAGGCAGTCTAATGCCACAGCTTATAAGTGATACGTATTTTTTTCTTTGTGTTCTTTCAATTTTTAATTTAACTTAATTACTGAGGCAAGGTCCCACTCTGCTGCCCAGGCTGTGGGACACTGGTGTATTCTTGGCTCACTGAAGCTTTAACCTCCTGCCTCAGCCTCGGGAGTAACTGGGACTACACGTGCATGCTACTATGCCTAATTCTATTTTTTTTTTCTCTGAGATGGAGTTTTGCTTCATTGTGCAGGCTGGAGTGCAGTGGTGCAATCTCAGCTCACTGCAAAGTCCGCCTCCCAGGTTCAAGCAATTCTTCTGTTTCAGCCTCCCAAGTAGCTGGGATTACAGGAGCCTGCTACCATGCCCGGATAATTTTCATATTTTTAGTACAGACGGGGTTTTACCTTGTTGGTCAGGATGGTCTCGAACTCCTGAACTCAAGTGATCCAGCTACCATGGTCTCCCAAAGTGCTGGGATTATAGGTGTGAGCCATCTGCCTGGTCACATGACTAATTTTAAAATTTTCTGTGGAAATGAGGTCTCACTATGTTGTCCAGGCTGGTCTTGAACTCCTGAGCTCAAGTGTTCGCCCCGCCTCAGCTTCCAAAGTGCTGATATTACAGGCATTGAGCCATCATGCCCCTAACTTCTTTTATTTTATTTTTTTTTTTTAGACATGGTCTCACTGTCACCCAGGCTGGAAGTACAGTGGTAAGATCTCAGTTCACTGCAACCTCTGTCTCCCGGGTTCAAGTGATTCTCCTGCCTCAGCCTCCCAAGTAGCTGGAATTACAGGTGCCCACCACCATGCCCAGCTAATCTTTGTTCTTTTAGTAGAGATGGGTTTTCATCATGTTGGCCGGGCTGGTCTTGAACTCCTGACCTCAAGTGATCCATCCGCCTCAGCTTCCCAAAGTGCTGAGATTATGGGCATAAGCCACCACGCCTGGCCATCATGCCCAGCTCATTTTATATTTTTAGAGATGTAGTCTTCCTCTTTCGCCCGGGCTGGAGTGCAATGTGGTGGGCCCCATCAGAGCCACTGCAGCCACAAACTCCTGGGCTCAAGTGATCTTGGGGCATGGTGGCACACACCTGTAATTCCAGTTACTTGGGAGACTGAGGCAGGAGAATTGCTTGAACCAGGGAGATGGAAGTTGCAGTGAGCCAAGATCACACCACTGCACTCCAGCCTGGGTGACAGAGTAAGACTCTGTCACAAACAAACAAACACATAAATAACATCAGAATAAAATACAGTAAACATTTAAAGTTCTAGTTGGGAAGTGGCAAGCATCAGGTACATGAGCCTGTCATCAACTTTGTGTGGGGTGGGGATGGTCTAACTTACCAAATTCTGGAAAGCACCATGTGATTCCTAACTGGTGAAAGTAAAAGTTTAAAGTTGAAGGAGAAACTCACGTGTTTAACACGCTCACTTTAAAGACGAAAACAGGTGCACAAAGAACATGCCCCAGAGCTCATTCCCATCAGAGGCCAAGATCTGGTCTCTTGACCAACCTCTGTAGACACCACCTCCCCTCCAGGGTACCTGGCTGCTTCAGACACTGGCTTGAGGTCTGGACAAGCAGGTAAAAACCCCGATGCAGCACTCCCCAAGCACAAAGTCCCTAGCACTTGAAGGTGCAAAGGCCTGGTCTAGGCTGCAGATGTGCCCTTCAGAAGCGTCAGAAACACATACACATCCTTGCTTCCCACTAACTCCTTTCTTCTGTTTTATGCAGACATGAAGTAGCATTTGGTAGTCTTTGAATAACTGTTTATAAGAAAACAATTATATAACAACCTTTTCATTCCTCTAAATGAGGGGCTGGCAGATTATGACCAACAGGCCAATGTTGGCCAGGCTGGTTGTGAATTCCTGATCTCAGGGGATCCATTTGCTCAGGTGCTGGGATTATAGGCGTAAGCCACCACGCCTGGTCTGAAATGATTTTTATAACACTAAATCATCCTTTGTCTTTTGCACTATGTTGGACATCTGCACAGATGAGGGAAAAGCAATAGTGACTAAAATCACCAACATCTTACAAAAACAAAAAAAGCAAAAGCAAAGGAAAAGAAAGCCAATATCACCAAACTCTAGTGGTATCACACATTGCTGCTGCTGTACAGTCGCAAGAAAAAAAAAATACCAGCCATGCTTAAGAAAATATGTTAAAAAATTTATTTTGTTTGGTAGAGATGGGTTCTTGCTATGTTGCCCAGGCTGGCTTGAACTCCAGGCCTCAAGTAATCCTCCTGTCTCAGCCTCCCAAAGTCCTGGGATTACAGGTATGAGCTACTGCTCCTGGCAGAGAAAAAATATTATCTGTGAGACAGGGTCTCACTCTGTCATCCATGCTAGAATGCACCAGCACAATCATGGTTCACTGCAGCCTTGACCTCCTGGGCTCAAGCAATCCTCGCACCTCAGCCTCCTGAGCTAATGGGACCACAGGTGCAAAACCACACCTGGCTAATGTTTAAATTCTTTTGCAGAGACAAGGTTCACTACATTGCCCTGGCTGGTCTTAACTCCTAGACATAAGTGATGTCTCTAGTCTTGGCCTCCCAAAGTGCTGGGATTACAGGTGGGAGCCACTGTGCCCACTTGTTTCTTAAAGTATTTATTTATTTTTGAGATAGGGTCTTGCTCTGTTGTCCAGGCTAGAGTCCAACAGTGCCATCACAGCTCACTGCAGCCTTGGACCCCTGGGCTCGTGTGATCCTGCTGCCCAGCCTCCTGAGCAGCCAGGACTAGAGGCATGTACCACCACACTTGGCTAATTTTTTTATTTTTTGTAGAGACAGGGTCTTACTATGTTGCCCAGGCTTGTCTTGAACTCCTAGCCTCAAGTGATCCTCCCACTTTGGCCTTCCAGAGTGCTGAGATTACAGATGTGAGCCACCACACCTGGCTGAAAAAATATTCCTCATGAGGTAGTAAAAAGTATTTATTGTATTAAATCTCAGCCTTTGGTACACGTCTTTTATTCTGAAACACTCTGAAATATACAGAGTATTTGATCACACAAAATAGAAGATGTGTGCGGCATACACACAGTGGCCCTATTAGGAGGCAGTACTCGTGCAAGTGTCAGAAGTGAGAGCTGAAGTAGCTGCTTGCCCACATGGAACACATTAAAACTTGCAAGAATGACTGAGACATAAACTCTAGTTACTAAGTTCTGGTTACATGGCAGACATTTTTTCAGAAATGAACAAAGAGGGATAGTTACTTCAAGGACAAGTGACAGTATTTGTTGCCAATGATAAAAGTTGGGCTTTCATTAAAAAAATCTAAAGTTTTAGAAAACTTGTACATGGGCGTGGTAGCTTCTCAAAGTTTATTATTACTAATATTTTTTTGAGACAGGATCTCACTCTGTCACCCAGGTTGGAGTACACTGCCATGATCACGGCTCACTACAGCTTTGACCTCCCAGGCTTAGGTGATTCTCCACCTCAATCTCTCGAGTAGCTGCGGCTAAAGGCAGGCATTACCATGCCCAGCTAATTTTTTTTATATAGAGAGGGTTTTGCCAAGTTGCCTAGGCTGGTCTTGAACTCCTGAGCTCCAGGCTAGAGTGCAGTGGTGTTATCACAGACCTTGAATTCCTGTTCTCAAGCAATCCTTCCGCGTCAGCCTCCCAAAGTGCTGAGATTACAGGCGTGAGCCACCATGTCTGCCCTGCTTTTCCAAACTGAGAAGACCTACTTGAAGAAACTGATGGTGGCATCAACAAATGTGATTTTTTTTGACACTGAAATATGTCAACATTTGGAAATTCTGCAGAACTTAGTGTCAATTGAAAAAAAAATCATGTGTACACGAAAGATCCATTCCAAGTACAAAATGGACCAATGGATTCTAATGTCATAGAGTATGAAAATCCAGTGCTATAGATTCCGATTCCATGTTGCAGAACACCTTTAAGAAACTTTCACTGGTTGAATTTTGGTACAGTATCAAAGAATATCCACAATCAGCTGAAAGGGCTATGAAAATACTTCTCCCTTTACCAACCACAGGATTTTCTTCGTAGACTTCAACCAAAATCATCAATCACAACACAGAGAATGCAGAGGCAGATATCCTTAATAATATCACTATTCTTGCTTATTTTTGTTTTGGAAAAATTATTTTTCATATAAATGTTTTCTATGGGTGCCACATAACAGACTACTTTAAATGAACTAAGTGTTTAAAAAATTTTGTTTCTTTCTTTTTTTTTTTTTTTGAGGCAATAATCTCACTTTGTCTCCCAGGCTAGAGGGCAGTGATGTGATCTGTGCTCACAGCAGCCTCAAACTCCTAGGCTCAGGCACTCCTGCTGCTTCAGCTTCTCAAGTAGCTAGCATTACAGGTCTGCACCACCACACTCAGATAATTTTTTTTAGTTTTGTAGAGATGGAGTCTTGCTATGTTGCTCAGGCAGGTTTTGGACTCCTGGCATCAAGTGAACCTGCCATCTTGGCCTCCCAAAGTGCTGGGATTACATGTGTGAGCCATTGTGCTCAAATTTCTCAATTTTAATTTCCAATACAGTAAGCGCTGATAGATAATCCACACAAACAACTACTCTCGAGGACCCCTAACTTCTAAGAGTATAAAGAGGTCTGAGATTCACTGTACTTCACACTCTCCAGGGTCACTGCAACACGGTTTCAGTCTCTAAAATTTTGCTGCAATCTTTCCCAAAAGTGTCATCTGCAGCCTTGGACTTTCTGAGTCCCATCTCCCATTTCTAAGGTTCACTTGACAGTTTTCTGATACCCTGGTATCTCTTTACTTTGGACGCATGTCAAATGGATTCCATCCAACTTCCACTGTGAGGTGGGCTCAGCCCACAGATCTCAGACCCTAAAGCTGCCTAACCCACCCCTTCCCTGTGTCCTCTGCACTGGGTACCCAGGCGCCACCCCGCCCCTCACTCTGCTGCCCCAGACTCTGGATGCTCAGCTTCCTCACTGTATTGGCAGAAACCTGCTGCCTCCAGCTCATGCCTATGCTGTTATCACGATCGTTTTCCTCAAAACATGGCTTCTTTGCTTATTTTCCTACTCACATACATGACTGGTTCTTTATACTTTTGAGTACAGCCTGCTGAAGGACCCAGACGCATTTCAACCCCGGCCCCTGCAGGCACCATCTCAGAAGACAGCTCTGCAGCCTGCGTGCCCTTGGAGCCACAGCTCATCACTCACTCCTACCACAAGCCCCGTGGACACAGGGCTAGGGTCGCTCAGCCTCAGTGTTTCTGCAGGGGAATGGCAGGCAAGAATGGTAAAAGGGCAGACAGAACTATGTTTCTACTTCAGGTTTTCATCCTCTACGTGGAATCCCAACACTGTGGAAAAGCAGCACGGTTTAATAAGGTAATGAATAAACGGCCTACTTTTTTTGCGTGGCTGTGAAGGAGATGTTGACTGAGAGGCTGTGCCGTTAGTACTACTCTCTTCTTCCTCTTTAACTTCTACTTTCACTTCAGGTTTCTTTTCATCCACTTCCATTGGTTCTGATTTCTGCTCTGTTGTGTCTGTTTCTTCTTTAACTTGAGAAGCACCTTGCAAATCCTCCTCCATCATCTTGAGAAAAACATTACAGATAACATATGTATATCAAACACCTTTATGTTACCTCAGCTTCAATAAAAGGCTCTTACAAACCTAGATAAGTTTGTTAAAACCTTTCTCAGAGTTGCATTTATGATACCTCTTCTCTTCCAGAAGAAGAAATAAAGTACTGGGTATTCATTAAGTTGCTT